TCTTTTGAAATAAGAATAATAAGATTCCATAGTTGTCGAAGAAAACAAAAGGAAAAAACGTTTGTCTGAAGAGTGAAGATGAATCAGTCCAAGAACAAATAAATCCCATCTGCCAGTGTCAACTTTTGTTTTTCTAGAACAATTAGAATGATTTACTTACGATGTATAGAGATGATCATTACATTGTTTAGTTTATTTATTTGTCGAGGGTCACACTATACTTACTTGTTCTAAATTATCAGTATGATTATTAAGATACTCATCAAATGTACAAGTTTTTACTTTTAATAATGATCTTCGATTTGATAAAGTAGAAACACTCTGTGAAGCCGAGTGTCGGATGAATTTTTCCTTCGTGATAAAATAGGTTTTGAAAAATGATGCAAACGTCTCTATATTTTTCTAGAGCACTGTTCCAAGAACATCCTATTTTAATTCATTTTTCAATTAATTATGAACAGTTTCGAAATATCAGGCAAACTTCAAGCATACTGAACTAAGCCAGTAATTCAAATCAAAGACATCAATCGTTTTTGGAAGATCGATTGTTAATTTTGAGTCAGTTTCTTTTGTGCTAAATGAAAGTCAATTATGATCATTTTTTTTGATTCATACAAATTTATTTAATCATGGAAAGAAAAAACATGTACGAGAGACCGAAAAACAGAAGGCAACTTTCTGACAGAGAACAATAATATAAGATGGAGTTGAAATTGTTGGCCAATGAATCATTAGCTGATTTATTCGAATTTCTCAACAACCTTGATCATCTGCGTCCTTTTCATAAACTCAATTTTTGAATCGACAATTTCGTTTATATAGAATGTCGCGAAAGTACATTCTGGTGATTGGAAATGTCATTTAACAATTGTTTTAGCAAATTGATATGAGATGTAAATATATAATTTCTTGATCGTTGTGTTAGAATAATAGGTAATACTCTTGACAATACTTAGTATTATTTAGTTTTTGAACATTTTAATGCAACTATTAGCCGAATCTATGTTAATCATTTCTGTTATTTAAATGCTAATGTTCTATTTGGTTCATATATAGACATAATACTAGAAAATTAGCTGTTATTGGAAGTTTTCATCCTGGGTAATAGATTTTATTTGAAAAATTAATGGTAGAAAACTTTTTTAGTCAATCAAATTTTTTATTTGAAATTATTCCGAATTGACCATTAACTGAATTTTATGAATATGCATAACGACAAAATTTATTAACATTTATTGTCTGTATTTGAAAGATGAAAAAAAAATAATGAAATAAATCTTTGTAATTAGTCATTGAAAGTTGATTATATATCAATATTGATTGTACATCGATTAAAAAGAGAACCATTAGCTTATTATGAACAAATTAGCAACACACTTCTGAGAAAAAGAAATAATTCCTTATTTTAAATTAGTCAATTTACAAATATTTCTACTTGTGCCTTATGCATTAAAATATTCTATTGAGATTTTGTCTTTTTTTGCTTAATTAAGATTGCAGAATGAACATGTATCTTTAGTCAAAATTTTCAAATCGATTCAACACCATATAATCATCGGTTAGATCGATAGTGGAATAAATAATCAAATTTTGAGTTTGGAACTTAGAAGACTAGACCAACAGCAATCATTTAGATGAAAGAAGAAAGTTAAACAAGAAATTCTATTAAAATAAATAGGACGAGTATTAAATATTTCCTTAGAAAATCTTTAAATGTATTTTAATTATTGTGAATCGCATCGATTACGGAAATCTTTTATTTACATCAGAAAAATTCGGTTATCTGAATTTAAGTTTCATTACATTAACAATTCAATACCACAAATGAAGCGTATTCTAATGTAAAAAATCGTTTTTTTTTCTATTAAAAAAAAAGAAAACTCTTGAGACTTCCCTCGCTCTCAACAGTGAACATAGTAGGACTGTAACACCAAATCTAACAAAAGAAATTGCTTTTTCCTCACGTTTCACCAAAATGAATTGCAAATCAGCAAAATGCTAGATCGATCATCACTTGGTAGTTTCTTATTTCACAGAATAGTATTGTTTCAGACATATTTCTATGATCGATATCGAACATGTTTATCAAAATCTCGTTTTAATGTTATTTTGTATTCTGATAATTTTATTACATTGTTTCCGGGTAACTTCAGGAACTTATACTAGATATAAATTTGATCTTGATTCTGTTTGAGATACAAAATATTTCTTGTGAGTCAAACAAATAATAAGAAGATAACATCACATGACGTCATACTTTTTGAGAACGAACGTATTCTGATCTAGTTAAAAATTACTAAATACTATATCAAAACTTGTCTTAACCAAAAGATTGCGACTGCTTAATATTCTTGGGTGATTTGTATCAATCTTTCAATATAGAGAATCGAACAGCGACATATACTTATATTCGAAAAAGAAAATACAATAAAACTGGACTATTCCTTCTTGTAGCCACTTATTCTTTCATTAGGTTAAGCTATGCAAAATACGTACTATATGAATTCTACAGATTTCGACTACTATTCAATCTAAAGCTGCCTAGCTTGCAATAGTCGCCTATTTCAAAATTTGATAATCTTCCTCTTGTCATTTCTTCGTTTTTGACTCAATTAAACACTTAAATCTGATACCATTCATACATTTTTTTCAGACCATAGTGTCAGAGAAAAAGAAAGCCATAAAATAAGTAGAGTTATCTAGCAGTCGAAAAACGTTTTTTGTGGTAGGGTGTGAGTATGCGTGTGAGTAAAGCGAGGAATGACATCCACATCCACACCCTAAGAATATCGATGTCAAAAGAAAAGCGATGAGAGAGAGCAAGAGACAAGAATAGGGAAGTCGATTGAATAAGTATTGTTATATATTTTAGATGTCTTGAATGATGGTAACTCATAGTCGTAATTAAAAAAATTATAAACAATAAAGTATAATGGTTAGTCTTTTTTTCATTTTTCAAGTGTTTGAATAGAAAATATTTTGCGCCAATAAGGTGTAACAAATACTTGCTTTGGATCCATTTCATTCCTTATTTTTAACCATTCCTTTAACATTGGGTACAATTTATGTAGCCGGTCCCCATTGTAATCATCAGGTAAATATTTTCCCCAATGACAACGATATTCAAATGGTTTTAATAAGTCCCAAAATTGTTGAAAGAAATTCGGTGCAGTTCCAATTGGATTATTGTTAAACCAATACCAATCAAATCGAACAACATCTATGTTATATGATGGACTAAGCCAGAAATTGCTTTTACCACTTGTATATATTTCTAAAGCGTTATTACCAGTTGCATTAACACCATGTGTTAAATAATAGTTTCGAAGAATGTTCATTACTTCTTTTGTTTTGTCAATAGGAATCCAAAGCTCAGTGAATGATATTGGTAGTATTTTAAATGATAAGTAGTTATCCATAGGTAAACTATTGTAATATATGTCGAAAAACTCTTGTTTTCCAATCGGTTGTAATTGATCGAAAATTGAATGAACCAGTGAATAATATTCTTCAGTGTCTGCTGCTAACACGTTCATTATAGTGAAAGCATCAGCAATTTGCATGCTAACTGCTGTTATATTTGTGTCAGAGAATTCTTGATATGGTACAATTGGAGGAAGTGGTTTTCGGTCGTATTTTGAAGCCTTCCATATGACTGAACGATCAACATCTTTTTGTGGATACCAGATTAATCGTGAAAAATCAGCACCAGTTTTGAAGAATTTTGTGAGACTTGGATATTGTTGGTTACCATCTCCAAACATATCAATAGGACAGCCGATAGAAAAATTTGATGATGACGGAACTATAGGTGAAATTGTTTCTGAACCCTTGATATAGTATGACTTTGTTGTTAAGCTAATATTTACACTAGTAATAATACCGAATAAACCCATTGAAATGCCGACTGCATAAAATTTAGAATCTTGTTTACAAATATTGTGTATAGTACCTTTACCATCAATCAATCTTATTCCAACAAGTACATCATAGAAACTATACAATAGAGAACCACCGGATGAGCCCGTGGATAAAAATCCAGCAACTGTTTGCCGAGTAATACCGGCAAGGTCTGGTAGCGCATAACCAACTTGATTTAGAATCCAGACTAAACTTTTTTCGATGTCTTTATTATCGACTTCTGGATTAGGACCAATAATTGTACCGGCTTTGACAATTGCAACATTATTTACCTTATCAATCGTCACTCCGTAATATTTTTCTAATGAAACAATTATTAACTTTTGTTCAGTATTTATGTCTTGTTCATCTGAGATGGCTTTCTCGTAAGAATGTTTTGAACCAATAACACGAATGATTGTTGAGCCTTGCTCATAGGCATGCTTAATTAATGCTTGTATTTCAAATTCATTAGTAGGATACTGGATCGTTTGATTATTTTGCCACAATTTCACTGGGATGGAAAAATGGTAGACGAAAAGACAAATAATGATAATTAACCGAAAGACCATTTCAATGGAATCGAACAAATTCTTGAAACCTAAAATTCTTCTGGTTATATATACTATTGTCCGAAAAAAAAAAGGCAACTGACCATTTTTCAAATAACGTTTGACGTGAACAAGATAGAAAGCTGCGGTTTTTTTCATTCGAAATCGCTCTTTCGAATGGCAAAAACTGTAGCTCTCTATCTTATTCTTATCAAACATTTTTTAATAAATGGCCACTTGCCTTTTATTTTTTTCAGACAATAGCTTTGATGATTCTACGATACAATCTAATGAAATACAATCGATAGCCAATAATTCAAAGGAAAACAGAACTTCTCCTTAAATTTCACAAAAGACTATCGGAGATGAGAAGTTTTATTTTCGACTGCTAACCGAAGAATAGCAGTACACGCTTAGAAAACAACATTTCTACATCTAAAGAATTCCAACTGTAGCATTCAATCGGAGATAAATTTCCTTACAATATTCCCGATTTAATTTCCATATTTTGGCAAAAACAATCGCCTTTTCAAAATCGAACTCGTGATCGAAAATTCTACAGCTGAAACTCGATCGTGAATTTGTCATCCTATATTAAATTTAGCCAAATTCTAAGGAAAAGTACTCTAGAATAGCATAGCTCCAAAAGAATTTGAGCCAATGACCTTTCTGTCTCAAGATATTGAATTTTCACGATTCTGGACAATACAGTAATTTTGCCCTAATATTACTATATCATATTAAATTAAAAAAAAAACAACTCTTCTAAGCAAATAAATTTACGAGAGTGACTACATTGAATTAAAGCTAGCAAATGACAGTGTGACTACTGACAAAAGCTATCATCGTCATTTACGCAAAGTGCATCGACAGACTCGAAATCTTCTGGATGTTGATCGATATAACTGGTTGCTAACCATTCGACAGAAAAACTGTATATGAGTATTTCATGCTTATGCGGTCACTTCTTTCAGAAACAGCTTTCTTAGTGGTATCTGATCATCTTTTCTAAAAATATTAATCTTCATTATTCGGAAAAGTTGTCTCACCGAAAAACGCACTTAGCATTTTTTTTAAATCTTAATTCAATTTCGACTTCGTTGCTGATTATCATCTGCAATGAAGCTCTATAGAAAATTGCCTGATATCGAAAATCAGTTGTCAAGCACCAAGCAGGATTGCATTCGATGAAAGCGAGAGAAGACAAAATATCGGTCGCACAATCTTTTCATGTGTTCGCTTTAGCAAAAGAGAAAGAGAAAAAGAACAGAAACACCAACTCCAACTGACACACCGAAAAACACACATGACAGTTTTAAAATCTAATATAAGATGCAAATTTCTCATTCCTGATTACTTTTCGTCAAAATTTTATCTTTTCTCACGTTCAATCCATGAGCATCCTCTATCGCACTTCGTTGTGTAGGTCGATCATGTGCAGGTGTTAGTTTTTCAGCCTTGGCTCCGATTCTGCTCGTGACGAGCTACTGAGTTTTGATGCTCAGCCACCACTAGACAGACAATTCTCATATACTTTAATTTTTTTTTATCTTAGTCTTTTTGTATATGTTAAACGTCATGGTTTATTTTTGTGTGTAGTTGTGATCGTCGATTTAGAATGATTGTTTTTTTCAGTGAAAATAACATTTGGTTTCACTCAAACGCTATCGCATTTGGACAAGATGAAGAGAAGATCTCTTTCTGATTCCAGAAAACTCGACCAGAGCAAGTTTCATCAGTGGTTAGCCTCGATTCCAGTCTCAGTGATATTTTCAAAAATAGTATCAAAATTCAATTAACGTAATATATGCAACAAGCAGTGCACGGATGGGACCAAGACTGTGATTAAATTGCAAAAGTACCCTCTTTGAGCAAAATACATCACACTGTACGGCATTTATGCCAGTATTATTTTGAGAAAAAATCGGAGAGCCTTAAAAAAAAATCGATTTTTCTCATTTTTATATCTCTCTGGCTAGTAGATGAGAGGGGAATCACTAAGTACAAAAGAATCGAAATATTTTTTTTGTCGTAGGATCAAAACGTAACAAAGAGAACGGTATTTACTTACGATCAAAACATCAACTGAATTCGCGTTGTTGTATTTTGTTTGATACATGATCGATCGTCTCACTTATTTATATATCATAGAAAAAAATGACTGGGCTTTTTCGAATGACGATTGCTCCCATGTAGGAAAAAAAGTATTCTCTCATTCACAACGTAAATAGAGAGCACGAAGGAGATGCGTCACACCAGATTGTATCCTTTTCTTTCGAAATATTGATCCTCTCTCTCGTTTCAATCATTCGTGCTGACGTCTATTCATTATAAATTGACTCATGGTGATAAATATAGCACATCTTCGTATTAACGTTCATTTTCAAAAAAAAAGAGATAAACAAGCGTTTCTCGGTTGATAACGAAAGGCTTCCTGTGTGAAGGTTGTTGACAAAAAAATCAGATTAAAATCAATATGACTTTGATTGAAAATCGCTTAAAAACATACGATTTTAAGCAAAAACGAGTCAACAGAATCTTTATCTAAATGATTATTTAGATCAACTTCAATTTTAATTAGTTATGATCGACATTAATTTAAATAATCGTATTTACACGTACGTGAAGTTATAATCAGCTTCGAGTATTTCCACAGCGCATTCGTCCAGGAACGCGATCCCACTGTGTTACTCTTGTTTCAAATACAACTTGACAAATCCTATAGATTGATATAAGAAAATTTTTCGTACCTCAAATCATTTGTGTACAAGTCGAATTTTCTGCCGAATAGAGTACCTATAGGTCCACAGAGTGTCATATGGATTTCTTTTTTTTTTCACAAATGAGTTCTCATTTTCAGATGTATTCCGTTATATTCTGTATGAAATTCTCTAATATACAAACCTTCACCCACACCCACTCTACCTTCTAGAACTTTTTTGAAAGCGTCGTTGTTATTAAAATGAACAACGTATATTCTTGTTTCAAGCCAAACATTGCTTTCTCATCAACTACAGTTTTCATTATCTTCTTACAAATGTGCTCGCCAAACGGTTTCTAATCAGTGAGACTACAAATACTCATAAACATTGACGTGGGAAAAGAAGAAAAATGTCTCACTTGTTGGCTTTTTTTTGTGCATCATATGTTTCCCATAATACCAGTTTATTCTCAGCCTTCGATATAAATGAAACATTTTGAGACACATTTAATAAAATTTTTGTCATAGGTCGTATTTATTCATTTGTTTCATCGGTTTAAAGATATGTTGCCAAGATTTTATTTGTTGGTTGTGGTAAAGCTAAATATTCGTGTATTATGAGTTCGTCCAATGGACAAATGTAAAAGAAATGGTGCATTCATTAGAATGGATAAGATTGGATTTTTTTTTGATACATACTGTCTTCAGTAAGACATGATATTTATACTCAAAAAATCTTATATCATTACGAAACATCACATAATCACTTTATAATACAAAAAAAAATTGTTTTAAAATTTCTTTCTGAGACCTGTAAATATATGGTAAAACTTCTCTAAAGTGAAGATGAACGAAAATATATAAAAGTGTTCGCAATATGGAATTGTTCATTACATAGAAGTTTCTGATTATTTCAATAAAAAAAGAGTTCTTATCATTTGAGCGTGATAAAAAATCCTAATTCCTGTTTATTATATTTTAATAAAGATCAGTTGAAAATCGAACATTCATTTATCATCAATTAATAGAAATGACTGGAAATAAATGATCGGTATTACGATTGTTATTTTCAATGTTTTGATGATTTGCAATCATCCCTTAGTCGGTTCTAATTAAATATTTATATAGAAATTCACTCAAGAAAAGATATGATATAATATGAATGTTCGGTATGTAAAAATGAATCATAGTCATCAATCTTGCTATAAACAATACTAATCCTAGTTGAGTAAAACGAAAACTAACAAAACCTATTCCACACTTATCAGACATTGCTGAATTGTAGAAAATAGTTGGTTATGGTCAGATTGGGATGATTTTCAAATTGAATCTTTGAGAGTTCTTTATGACGATAAAGTGATCAAGACTCATTGGTATAAATCGATGTTATATTCAGTAAAAAAAACGAATAACTATGTTCTATTTTCAATAGCATTAATAAGATCTTTTGTTTTGTGTGAATGTTCGATTGGATAAATTTTATTTTGTACTTCAAGAGTTCTAACATAAGATTCCAATGCTTTTTTTTATCATCGTTCTACTTCTGGTAATACTCAGCCATCAAAGTTAAACAATCGACTAATGTAACATATTCCAGATCGACATGTGTCTCTAAAATATGTAATGTTCTTTTCAGTGTATCTATTTTTCGATGATCATTATTTTCATAAAGTTCACTAATTTTCATTAAAATATATGCAATACAAATATGATGTGAGGGCAAAATATTGTTCGTAGACATGTAAATGTGATTGATAAAAATCAATAGCTTTTTGTATCATTTCTTTTTGCGTACTAAAAAAGTGAGTACACTATAGAATCGGTCAGTGTGTCCGGCCGTTTACATAATAACTTTCGAAAGGAGAGTCCGATCGCGATGAAATTTTCTACACAGTTTCGTCTCATCAATATCTCGGTCGAATTCAAAGATGAGAATGATTCGTCGAACCATTGCTGAGTTATCGGAAAAAGAGTCATTATTCCCTATGCTTTTCTATGCGAACATTGACCTATCCCGCTTTTCGTAAAAAAATTTTTCTCTCATAATCAAACAAAATCCCAACTATTATATACCATTCGATAGAGAATTTCACGAGCTACAAAATGGTATATAAAACATTAAGAAACAAGAAGGCTAAGTCACCTATTGCAAAGATACTTAAACGGAAATCGGTTCTGTTTTTTTGTCCACGTTCCAATTGATCGAAAAGTAAAGCTCCATCTTCCGATCACAGAGATGATAGTTCGAGGTTTTCTAGAGCGGAGAACTCGAAGCTGATCTCCACTTGCCTTGAAATCCTATTGGTTGAGCAGTAACCAATACAAATCAAGTTTTAATAGAAGGGGCTCGCTAGGATAATTTTGATGCCTACACGTGCTAGGATGACTCATCTGTCCAGTTCACTTTTTGAAGTGCACATAACACTCGGATTTAAATTCGATGTTTCCACATTTAGTTTATCTTTACTACTTTTTATTTGATTAGGTAAAAAACATGATCTATAGCAGGATGTGTGCAAGAAGCATGACAAAAGATTATAGATATTGCAAAAACGGATGCAAGCATAATAAGTGTTCTTTTTTTACACAATATTTATCAAAGAATGAATACTATCTATCAGAGGGAAGGTGCTTTGGATCCGGGTGTAATTTTTCAATTCAACCGCACCCATATCTACCCCTCACCCAACAGTCCAATCTTGTTTATTATAAAAGAAATGAAACATAAATGAAAACAGTAAATGAAAAAAACGAAACATCACTTGTCAGTCCAGTCTACCATGGGTCACATTCTTTCAGTTTTATTTCAACTCGAGGCGAGCGTTCATTATTTTCTTTAACATCGATTATTTTAAATGCTGAATATGGTAGAATTAATACTTCTTGTTCATATTGAAATAATGATATGTGTTGAATATCTAATGCCGTTCTTTTATTACTTATTTCGTATATGCATAATGTGCTTAGTCGATCACCTAAATTGGTAGCTTTTCCATAAAAATTTGATGCTATATTCCTTTGCTTTGATGTTGACAAAAATGTTTTAGTTAAAATACGTGTACCAACTTTGTATTTCTTTACATCATTAGTAGTAATTAGCATACCACGAAACACTTCTCCAGTGTATGATAATGTCTCAAAGTGTGGATGACGAGCAATTATTCCAATATAGTATGCTCGACTAAGATTATCTCGAGAAGTTAGATTTTCAAGTTGTAATTGTGCTAAATGAACATTGAGCGTAGAATAAAAGCCTGTTTCAGCTGTATATGCAGTTAATAAATAATCAGGATTTCTTTCATTGATTGCCTTATCAAAATATTCTTTTATTGTGCCAATGCCATCTACATCTTGCAAGTCTCTTTCAAGATAATTTTGTCTTATATGAACAATCAATTTATAAAATCGCGGATCTTTACCATATGCTTCTAGTTTTTTTAAATATTCATATGACTGATAATCGGCATCATTTGTTGAAAGAATCCATTCGATGGAATCACTGACAAAGCGATTCTTATCTATGCGACAACGAATTAGCTGTTTTATTCTATCAGTCTTGGCTTCATCAAGAGGGGTACAATTATATTTATTCATTGTTAAATAATTAGCACCTTTCTTCAGTAACAACTCAGCAATCTTCTCATGTCCTCGATATGCAGCTACATGAAGTGCAGTGGAGCCATTTGGTTCCATTCGGTTAATTTCTTCCACTGACATGGTTTTAAATAATGTTCAACCAAACTGATATTATTTTCTCGGCATGCATCATATAAAGGGCTGGTTCTTGATGCATTAGATGACGAACCTATCAAGGAAAAAAGTATTTTACAATAATTTTGAAACGACTGGACTTTTCTATAGGCCGATAGTGGAATATCAATATATTTTATTTTAGTATGTTCAACATCCTAAAAAGCGTCGACTTCTTCTACGAAAGCTTATTAGCCGAGTGCCAGATAAGCCAAAACTGTGACACTTACAAGACATTATGCGTAGGAGACAAAAGAAGTATTAAAAGCGTAGAAATTTCTTTTGAAACAAGTTCTAGTCGAATCAACTACGGCTCTCTATTAATGATCACTAGGAGCATTTTAAGAAAGCTTATGAGAGTAACTCCTTCAAGCCTCAAAATGTTGAACTCATATTTTCTTTGGTCTCATCATATTAACAGAAAATACAGCAAGTGAAAGAACTTTTGCACACTGTAACTGTTTTTCAAAGTAATCGATTCCAAAATAGTCGATCTGTTTTTGTTGAATTCTGCATTTCGAATAGAAATTTTTTTCTTACTGTTGCACTTTTGTATTTTGTTTGGTTGACTGTTATGAGCTCGTCATTTTTCTTTTTCACATTTCGTTTTTCTAAATTTAAAACTTGTATTATTGTAATCATTGAATGAGTTAAGAAAAAAGTCTATTTTACATTCTCATTATTCTTACACAAAAAGGAAAACGCCCTTCTCTGTCGACTGCCTATTGTACTATAGGATACCGTTCGGAAATCGTTTCAAAAACCCAACATCTTTTTTTCTATAACTATTACTAGCTGCATATCCGAACTGAAAGTCAACCTGACTCAGAATTCTTCCCCTCAATGATTTGACCTTCTCGTACACACTGACCAATCATATACTAACCGCAAAGGTCGGCTTATGTGATAAGGTAATCAGTATGTTACCGTACGGATGATCCGAGAAAGACAGACGTTAGTGACTTGTTCAATGCTAATTCTATGTCTGATGGGATGGAGGATCGAGTTTTGACTACAGTAACTTGATAGTATGCGCCAAACAACCTAATCATAGAGTCACAGTCGCCTCATTATATCTATAGTAGCAAACCTCAACGAGCTATTATATATCTCGATAAGCTCGTAGACACTGATATTGATTGTTTCCAAAGTTATGAACTGACCATTTGACACTTTTTACCTTGATCTTATAACGACTATGGAAAATCATCGAATCATTACCTATTATCGTTGACATCTTGTATATAAATTTTCCTGTAACCAAAAATCGAAATTAGTACTATTCAAAATACTCATAAACGTATTGCAGACACTCAAATTACGTGAAAGACTTTGAAATGTTCAAAAATTTTATAAAACTGTCTAATAAGGCAACATTTTTCAATATAGAAGCACGTTTTTGGCTTTGACTTGGAGTGTATTAAAGGTCTCAATGAGTTTTATCTACCATAAATAGAACTCATCTCCATAGCTTCTTTCTCAAGAGATCAAACATTGTTACTGCTATAAACATCAGAGTTATGTCATCGAAAAATCTTCACTAACTCAATCAATATCAATTGAAAACAGTTTTACTTCTACTCATGTACTAGATAATAGGACAATATGAACGTAAAAGAACTTAGAAAAGCAGATCTATCAATTTTAGAAAACGCAAGCCTAATTTTGAGCGCCACTTGTTGTTCTACTTCCTAGATTTACGGAATACATGGTCGAACATTTTAGAAGACTGGTTAAGTATAAGGTAATCGGTTTCATATACGAATTATGAAAAGTGTCGAACGGCAATATATGAATACAATGAATTTATATCAAATTTTTAAGGGAGAGAGAAAAGTAGTGTATTATAGTGTATACTTTCTTATTTAGTAATTATTTTGTGGTTTTTGTCAAAAATGAGTCATGCATTAGAAGTGTCTTACCGTCTGCCAGAGATTTTTTCAATTGATTGCATCTGCAAATGATAATCTTTCATCTCAAAAAATATGCGAACAACAGATAACCGAACATCTAGCTGAAGTATTATATTTCCATTATCAACTGTTGTTGATTTTCTGTAGGAACTGAAGCCTCACTTGATCGCATAATCAAACACTTTGCTTCGTGTAATTCAGTCAATATTGAGACGTTTTAAAAAAATTATAGAAATGAATAGTGCTACTAGTCGATGCTTACTCAGCGAACTATTTGTGAAACACAACTAATACTTAGTTTCCAAGTATTTATCGAGAAAAGTGGGCCACCGTTATTCACAGAGTCAACTCCACCAGCTGTGACAGGCAGACAATATATGTTTGTTTATATGACTTCGAAACATAAAATGATTAAAATAGGTAGGATTCTTGATTACGAGCCAAATGGGCCCATCATATTATACGTTTCAATCTGATCTAAATTACACTTAAAGCTTTCACAGTGAAATGAGCAATAAAAATAGACACTTTTCTCCATCTCAATAAATCATCTACTTATATATAAAGCTTGCATTTAGAAGTTTTCCTGCTTTAGAACTAGCAAAATAATAAAACATGCTTTTAAGCCTGAACAAAATATGAGTAAACACTACTGACCAGTCCAAATGCACTTATATCGATCATACTGTTGTTGATTCAATTTCTGACATGCTATACATTGTGGTCCATTGGTAGGTCCACAGTATTAAATGCTGGTATTATCATCTAGTATAAATCCTCGACCACAATAGAATATTGTTGGCATCTATCGGCTACATCTTGCTGATGCACCATCACTGTTAACAAGTCATCCTTGAGGCAAAGCTCGTTTCTGAACATCAAGCAGCATGCAAGATGAGCAATTGCACCCATCCATTGGTCCACATTCACCATTACAGCAACTACACTTTGATCCATCCAATGTACCACCACAATAGAATTTTCCTGAGCTACCCAAACGAGCATATTGACCTTGACTGTTGAGTGTTTTTTCAAGACGATCATCAAAGACTGCAATATCTTCATAGATAGATGTTGTTGAGGAATTCACACTGACTGAAAATAAAGTTTGATAAGAATAGCTTTAATGTAAAAAGCGATCAATTTTCTGCAGAAAACTTTGTGTGAGTTGTACACGTTGAAGTCAGTAACTTGTCTCTTGCCTGCAGTATTCTATGCGAAACAAGCGAAACATATTTGCAAAAACCGTTGAAGATCAGAAATCAGTGAAACACGAAACATCCGACGTTTCATCTCACAATTTCTCTTTTTTTTTCAGTTTTTTATTTTAAACTGTATATTTAAATTATCTATTGTTTGTAGTTGTCATTCATATTTCTATACTACTCGTCAAACATGCTCTTTTATCTATCATGAGAGTGTGATTTGCTCAGATGGACATTTCACTTTAGCATTTTGGATTTGAAGAATTGTAAAATACTATCAACTACATAATTTGTTTACAATCATGGCAGAAAATGACAAATTAAATGATGCTCAGCTTTTGTATTAATCACACATTACGCTTTGCTTCCAGCATCTCAATATTGCTATGAAATTAATTTGCATGAAGCTGAGAACTTGTTAGCAGACTGAACGTAGGGAAATCAACAATAGTCTTTTACAACTGTTTCTCTAAATTTCGCATCTTGAGTTTTGTAGCAAGTGTTCTGCATTCTCATGCTTATTTTATGTGTAACTGTGAGATGAAAGATTAAGTGTTCACAAAATAGTAAGACAGTTAAATGTCAGTAGATTTAATATTTTATGTCCTCTATTTTGAAAGTGTCAAAAAAGAGTTATACTTTTTCTTAAATCTTTAATCAATTCCTACACAAAATATGTGTCTAAAGCATTACTGACCAGGCCAAATTTGACTGTATCGATCACACTGTCGTTGACTCAGTCTCAGACATGCTATACATTGTGACCCATTGGTAGGTCCACAATATTGAATGCTGGTATCATCATCTAGTATAAATCCTCGACTACAATAGAATATTGTTGGCATCTATCGGCTACATCTTGCTGATGCGCCATCACTGTTAACAAGCCATCCTTGAGGCAAAGCTCGTTTCTGAACATCAAGCAACATGCAAGATGAGCAATTGCACCCAGTCGTTGGTCCACATTCACCATTACAGCAACTACACTTTGATCCATCCAGTGTACCACCACAGTAGAATTTTCCTGAGCTACCCAAACGAGCTAATCGACCTCGACTGTTGAGTGTTTCTTCAAGACGATCATCAAATACTGTAGTGTTTTTATAGATAGATGTTGTTAAAGAATGAACACTCACTGAAAATAAGGTTTTATAAGAATCAGTTTGACTAAGAGATAAACGCATTTGTGCTATAATAGTCAGTGTTTTGATCGACATCCAATTGTCTATTTATTAACCTAGGAAGAAGCAATAACCTCTGGAGCTTCCAACCTAAGACAGAATCACTTGAAGCTATCTACTTTTCTTCTAACATATTTTTACTGTGAAATGTTGCTCATCTATCGAAAAAGTATTTCTAAAAGCACAACTGTTAGCGGTGATTCACTCTCAGTCCTACCCCTTGATGTTTTTCTTGTTTGTCTTCTCTGATTATTCTTGTTTGCCTTATACTTCGTATTTTTTCTGTTTCTATTTCATAGCGACGTGTATGTATATATAACGATTTGCAAGGATATTTAAAATGTATAGATAAATAAACGAAATTGAAACAAGTTAGCAACAGCCTGACGGTTTATCTTATTCAAAAGAATCAACTAGGCTGGTCAATATAAACTGAAACGAACTGCAATTTTCAACAAGTTTACTTCTACTAAATTAGGTAATGTAAGAGTATGAGTATAAAAGAGCTTAAAAAATTTAAACGTTGCTTTCAATGTTTTGAAAAAGAATTTCAGATTCATAATCCTGTGCGTAATTGAAGTTCGAAATTACATAATGGTAAACTGTCAGATTCGGCGTATTCAATGAAATCATCTTTTGCTGTTTCATTTGAAACTTAATCAAGTGAAATTTCAGTCTCCATACAAAATCAACGACCGTTAATAATGAAAATATAATACATCAGCTAAATGATCAACAATCTGTTGTTCACATATTTTTGGAGATGAACAATCAACATATACAGATGCAATCAATTGAGAAAAATCTCTGACAATGAAAGGATGTGTACTCTGTTGAGCGAAAAGATCGACCATGTTCGCGTCCAATTATTAATCTCATTGTCAAACTAGCAAATTGAAGATATTACGTGCCCATAGGCAGCCTAGACCGAGATATTCGATTTTTCAGTGAATTTCTCTCTTGTAGCTTCACTTTTCCTACAAAATCATATTTTTGAATTTCGACTTGAAGCTTTGCGTGCATGAATGTCTTAGTGAGATTAGCTTGCAGAGAAAACTTCAGGATTTTTGGACAGATTCTTCCAAGATATGAAATTCTCGAATATTCAGGATGTAATGCAACCGTGCCAATGTTTCGAGAATTTCATATTTTTGATAGAAATCGTCTAAAAAACTCAGAAATATTCTCTGCAAGGTAATCTTATTAAGGCGTACATGCACACAAAGCTTCAAGTCGAAATTCAAAAATAAGATTTTACAGAAAAAGTGAAGCTTTAAGGGAAAAATTCACTGAAAAATCGAATATTTCGATTCACGCTAGCTATGCGTATGTAATATCTTCAATTTGCTAGTTTGCCAATGAGAGTAATAATCTGTCACCCACTACGTGTATCCGTATTATCGGAATCAGAAGTTGAATAAAATATTTCGATTCCTTAGCAAAAAAAAATAAAGTTTTTAATTCCTTACTGTCTTCCTCATTCTGTTTCGAAGATTCTTGTTTTTGTTTCATAAATGAACATTCTTCAATATTTGTTCGTTTTAATAGAATCTTATTTTTCTTGAAATATCTATACGTTGCTGTATCAACCACATATAATTTCAAGTAACGGTTTGATTTTGCTGCCTTCAGTTTTTGTTTTATAGTTTCAATTGGTTCATCATCAACAAAGTCGTCATTGATTTCAAGAATTCGATCACATTTACGTAACAGTGTTCCACTAGCTGGTGTATTCGATTGTACTTCTTGAATCCATACGCCTACATTGTTGTCACCATGGGTAATATCAAAGCCAAGTGATTGATCAGTTGAACTTAATTGAATTTCACATGTACGTGGTGTATGTTTAGGAAAATTCTTGTAATCACGTGGCATTCTTTGTGGTGTATCAATAGTTTTAGCAAATGTTGAATCGAATAGAACATGTTTTTCTATTAAATAATCATAATAACGTTTGTCAATAACAAGCAATTCAACACTATTATTCTCCTGTGCAGCTTTAAGAGCCCATTTTACTTCATTGTAATTATTCGCAGTTACGTCTTGAGAATTAACTGCAAGAATAATATCATGAAATTTGAGGCCGCCAGCAGCTGCTGGACTATTTGATTCAACAATTTTAACAATATATGGAGGTCCTGATGACTTATCAAGCACAAAACCAAGGCCACCATCATAACTAGACCACAAACGTAATCGACAAAGACGTAAATTCGCTTTTCGCAAAAGAGCTTCGTCGCTTGAATTTCTCATAATAATAATTATTAGTTTGATTTTTAATTAAATACAAATACTAACATCTATAATGTAAACTATATAAATGATTATATCAAAATATACATTTTGGGGTATGGATGTGAGTGTCGGTATAAGTAAAGAGAAGATATAGACCCACACGACACACCCTTTGTTGAGAATAACAAATTGAGTACCTTCACGATGAAATGAATAATGATTAGAAACTGTCATGATCATTAGTTAAAACAAGATTTAAGACGAAGATATAAACTTGATCTAGCAGTATTTTACCGATAGAAAGGAACGGCTTCTTATTTGTGTCACATTTTCTAGAAGAGTGTGGGTGTAGTTGTGACAATGAATGAGAGTGTGAGTGTCGGTAAAGAGTACCGCACCAGCCAAACCAACAACTACACGCACACCTATCCTTACAACTACACTCAAATCTCAAGATATAAAGGAAGCATACTATTTATGTGAAATAGAGGCAATATCATAGAATAGAAGTCCATCAAATCATTGAACTGATGTACACGGGATGCAAAAAGAAAAATTCACTAGATCGCTGATCAATCAACATTGATCAATAGCTTGAGTGAACGAAAATTGGTTGTGACTATTAAGTTCATAGTTGTATTGAAGTCCTTTCTAATCAATATTTCGATTATAGATTAATTCTGTTTATGATGGTTATAGTACTCTTTCTAATCTTAAAAACATTTCTAATTAGTGACTTACCAAAATAAAGTAATCAAAACCAACTATAGTTAATAAATTTCAGTCATGATTGATTCCTATTTCGTTAAGTTTTGTGTTTGTCAGGAGAGTATGCTGTTGGTCGAACGATTCGCTTGTTATTTTTCCTTATGGTAACATTTTACGCTTCATTTCTGTCTGTTATTACGGCCTTATTTTTTGTTTTTCTTTTTTCAATTCTTTTCAAAAAAAAACACTTGGTTGCGAAAGACTCCACATAACAGCAGTACAAAATTCAAGGTAAAGAATACAGAACGATTGATTCTATACACGAAAAAAATTCATATTTTTATAAAGAAATACAATTCGTAGGAAACGATAAACACCTATTTTTGCTGTCATATGATTTGTAAGAATAAAGTTAGCTGAACATGGTTTTTCTCTATAATTGTTTTCATCTTTTATTTTATTCTAAAATGAATGAGACTTAAATGATTATAAACATCAGAAAACTTTCCTATAAGTATATTTCAATATGATTACTATTTTCTGAAGTGAATTCATAGTTTATAAGATTCGACACGTTTATCTTAGTTCTTCAATAATAATAAAAAACGCAGAAAAAAGGCTTTTTCTTCGATATTCATTTGAGCTTGCAACTTTAAAGTTCATTTAGATTATTAAAAAAAAAACACTTTCAAAAATACTTAATTTATTTACTGCGTAACGCATACGGAAATAAAAAGATCTTATTAAATAGATTTGGTCTGCTACTAAAAAGGAAGAAATGTTTTTCAAGAAAGGAACGAATAAAAAAGAAACATCCGCAAGTGTTATTTTGATAATGTCTTAAAAAACATAAGCAGCTAATAATGCAAAAAAATCAAATTTGAACAAAATCTCCAATGATTTTGTTATAAGTCTATCAAATATACATAGAGAAGCACAGAAGTTAAATAGATAATTATTTAAAAAAATAAATTAAACATTATCACAAGCGTTCAAATCACACATTGATTTTTCTATCATTAGCAATCAGAACTATGCACTATTAGGAGTGTGGACTAGACATGTGCGGGACCAACTTTTTTTGGTCCCGGTCCCGGTCGCGGTCCCGGTGAAATTGAATTTTGGTCCCGGTGCGGTCCCGGTCCTGGTAAATTTTTTTTTGGTCCCGGTTTGGGTCCCGGTGAAAATTTTCATTTGGTCCCGGTCCCGGTCCCGGTCCCGGTCCCGGTGTAAATTTCCCTTTTGTTGCTGATTCCGGCGAAATTCTGTTTTTTTAGTCCTGGACTCAGTTAACACATTCGCTACGATGTGGCTTAATAGTGAGCCACGCTACATTTTAACGAGAAACTGTATAGAAAAGTACTTTATTTTTCTTTATTCTTAGACAGGAGGCTGAACATAATGCTTTATCTGTTCTGCCTTCAGAACTCTTTTTGAGTCCGTTATTCCATAGCATGATGGGTCTTGTTAAAAAAATCAAGACAAAAAGAATTGTTACTGACAACAGAACGTTTTTACTTTCTTTGCTACCGCATAGCTCACTTCTCTTGACTGTTGTGCCCTTCCTTTCGCAAAGCAGCCAGTACAGCGTCTGCGGACATTGCCCTTAAATCCTTCCTTTTCTTCGAGCTTGTGATTAGTGAATTCCCGCTTGAATTGAGTTGCTGATTCAACTTCTCGAATGGCATGTCATGCTGAAATGACCTCACAGGAGTTTCGCCAAACTACAGGATGGTTACTTCGCTACATGTGATATTACAAATGGAAAAGAGAAAACGACAGATCAGTATAGGATGAAAAGACCAAGCAGTGCATTTATCGCAAGATGAATGCAGACAAAAATGAATCTCTAGAGCTACTCTTTAATAAAACCGAATCGCGTCGAATGTGTTAAATTTGGTTTTTGTTCTACACCCCGTCTAAGTAACCTTACTTTTTCTGTTATTTGTCCATAGTCAGAGAAGTTGTTGCAGAATCTGCCGGTTTTAGATCTGGAGCAGTTCTCACTTCTATTTCCACCGATGTTTCTTATCAACGGCAAACATGACCGGGACTAAATGGTTTTTCGATCCTGGTCCCGGTCCCAGTAAAATTCTATTTTTTGGTCCCGGTCCCGGTCGCGGTCCCGGTAAAATTCTATTTTTTGGTCCCGGTCCCGGTGGCCGGGACCGGGACCGGAGCCGGGACCGGGACCGGGACTGGTCCCGCACATTTCTAGTGTGGACATTTATTTCACTCACAATATCACCGATACCTTCAGATACCAAAAGCAGACAAAAAATAAATCCTCAAAATCAACCATTCACAACTATTAGCGTTAGTTTTTGTCGATATCTAGACTATGATTTTTAGATTTCAATTGTCATAAAATGATTTTTATGGTAAATAAGTATGATGGATCCAAATAAATATAAAAATACTCTGGAAAATTGTCTTTTGATTGCAAAATATTTTCCATGAAAACTTCAGTTGCTAAGGAATTGAATGGAAAATTATACTAATAAAAAATCAATAGAGAATAGAGGATCGCACTTCAACGGGCATTTTGTATAAAGAAATAGAGGGATATCGGTTTCGATGAGACTAGCAATATGATTGTTCCTTAACTCTCATTCTTTGTATCAGTAGTTTTTTAATATTGTAATCGTTGGAAATATATGTAAAATAATACGATATTTCTCTATATGTCAACTATTGGCCTTCTGTGTACTCTTTCGATTCAAGGAGAAATATAATTCTAATTTTGTTTTGTTATATCCAATATTCGCTTAATTTTAGCGTGTACTACAGCATAAACGGAAGAAGTTTTCTACTATTTATATTTGCATCACAAAAACTATGTTTATAATAAATGTATTTTAATACAAAAGAAATATTAGGTAACATGTTTTCAACAGGAACTAATGATGAACTATTTATACTATCAACATCTATTCAATTCTTTACATCGAAAACAATAAATACTACCAGCATCAATTAGTAACTACAAAACTGATTTATCCACGATTTCTGCTCGTATGTATTCGAAAGGGTGTCATATATGTCCACATACATTGAACAAATTATGAGACGTCTCACTCGCATTTGTCTTTAACATGCTCCTGATTTCAAATGTTTTCGTAAAGAATGAAACCTCTGATAATAGGCATGAGTCCTATATGTGCTATTTTTTTTTGTATGGAACGATAACGTAGATTCTACGATTCGAGAGAGATATTGAAAACATAATATAAACTTTTTTTTTTAATTTCAAAGCAAAACAAAATTATAATTGTAAGACGTCTCTCGTGTCTTTTCAAAAGCATAGAAGTTTATTGGCAAATGAAAAAATAATGCATAACATTGTTTGCATTATGATTCTCTTGAGTTTCTTATGAAAATGTAACTATGATAAACATGCAAGATCAACAAAGAAGTACATTAACAACAAACGAGCACACAAAAACAAAACCCACATTAATGTATATTTTATTAACGTTATCGTTGTTTTTTTTTCTTCCGTTCTTGTCTGTATAGTAAG